TCCTTTAGCCATTTGACCTTTGCTTTCTGCTGCCAAAACAATTCCTCAGAGTGATAAGCTTGGTCCAGATCAGCTTTGGTAGAAACCCAGTCCTCCCAGTTGCTGGCCAAATCAGAATTTCTCAACAGCTCTAGTTTTGAGTTAAGATGCTCAATCTTAGACTGATTATCGGTCTTAAATTTGGCACTCCATTTGATGAGGGCGATTTTGGTGAGTTTAATCTTTTCCTTTAATTGAAAAAAAGGAGTACCTGTTTGATTATGGCTCCAGACAGCGTTCACAATATCAAATACCTCATCCTTCAACAGCCAACGTTTGTCAAAATGGAATCTGCGAGGGGCTTTGTGAAGGAGGGTCCCAGTGTTACGAAGTAATAAGGAATGGTCAGATGCACTTCGAGAGACAGAAAGAGTAGAAGCATTTGGGAAATTCTGAAGCCAATCTAAGGATCCGAATCCTCTATCAAGCTTTTCTTGGATAAGGCCTTCAGAAGAGCGGTGATTGCACCAAGTGAATTTGCATCCAGTCATTTTGATTTCTTCCATGACCATAGAGTTGATAAAGTTGTTGAATCCTGCAAGACTTCTGCCATTCCTTAGAGAGCCACCAAGTTTTTTAGAATTAGAACGAATGTCGTTCCAATCACCTATGATGAACCATTTGTCTTTCCACTTGTGTTTTTCATCTTCCAGAAGCTTCCATTGGTCAATGCGAGTTGAGGCACAAGCACTGAGGTAGACAAAAATAGCCCAGCTAACTTCTCCGTTGGCCATAGAGAATTCCACCGCAATGAAGCAAGAGTTAGTAATCAATTGAACAATAACAATTTCAGGAGACCATAAGAGTAAGAGGCCACCACTCAAACCAACCGGATCCACCAAAGCATGTCTATCTACAAAACCCAGTTTTTTAGCAACAGACTTAACAAAAAAAGAAGAGTTTCTGGTTTCGGAAAGAAAAAAGAAATGGGGGTGGTGAGATCTAAAAATCTCTTTGATTTGGGAAACCGTCGAGGGCCCACCCAGTCCTCGACAGTTCCACACCGCAGCTAACATTTGTCACTTGGGCGCCATTCAAGGTTGGCCACCTTCACCTTTGTTGCAACTGATTTAGCTTTATTAACTATTTCAGAACTGGGAGCGTCCTCAGAAGAACGGGCCTCAGGGTCATTAACCTCATGAATATCCCGTTTGCCTGAAACAGCTTTATCTCTGATTGAGAGATGGTCGGGTTGTCTAGAGAGCCTCCCTTCCCTGCGTCGATCACGTTTCCAGGTTTTGAGTTGAGGAGGGGGATGATCAACCATGAGCAGATCTTGAGAATTCTTTGGGACAGGGATGTACTGGACCAAAGCGTTTTGAGAGATTTCCACCTTGGTTGGATCTAAATTCTGCCGCTCTTGGTTATTAACCTGTGTGAGGCTCTGATTGAGAGGAGGAATATGGTCCTTGATGACAACTCCAGCAGGATTCTTAGGAGCAATTTTTTAGCCACTAGAGTCTTTAATCTTCAATGAGGAAGCTTCCTTGAGCATAATCCCAGAGGGTTTTTTAGGGGGTATTAATGGGCCGCTGGAATCCTGCACTTCCGTTGGGATGATCGGAGAAGATGCTTTCGTAAGAACAAGAAGTTGGTGGTGCTCTTGAGACTGACTCGTGGATGTGAAAGGGGGAGAGGTTTGCACTGGGGTAGTAGGTGAATCTGAATGGTGTTGAGAGCTCGAGATGTTAGGATTAGCCCATTGCAGGAAATCTGGTGCTCTCATCCAGTCCTCGTATTGGCCCACTCTCACTGATTTGTTCGCAATGTCCTCAATTTTCCTATTACAGCTTCTGTCTAAATGGCTGATGAAACCGCAGTAGTTGCACATGTTCACCAATTTTTCATATTTGAAGCTAACTTTTATTACCTCATCTCCCAACCGGATGGAGGCACACCTGGGGAGGGGTTCTGCCAAATTGATAGAGACTAAAAGCCTAATGATTTTGCCTCCATGGCTGCCTGCACTAGCTACTACCACATTCTTGAGCTCATGGAATACCTTACCAATCTTCAAACCCACGTCTATACTCAGCCAGTTTAATGGAACGTTGAAGACTTGCACCCAGATTGGTAGCTCTTGGAACACCGGGTGACTAGCAGATAACCGCTATTTCCATTATGTGAGGAGAAGAAATTGGTTATCTATGGTCCAGTTCGTGCCACGGGCTACTCTATCCATATCTTCCTTACTTTGGAATATAAACTGAAAGAAGTTCGTAGCTAACTCTTTGACCTCCATTGGTTGTTTAATCTTCCAAATGAAGCTCATTGCGCGTTTCACTCCCATCCAACTCACCGGACGATCTCCAATAATTTTACCGAATAAGCTTTTATGGCATTCTTCGGCACTGTATCGGATGTCTGTTGAAGCTATGTCGATGATGACATTCTCCGTTTCGGACAGGGAGAAGACTTCTAGGCGATATGCTAGATCATCGTCGTGGCCTACGAAGGATTGGCCAGCCATTACAGAAACCCTAACCCCCAAATAGGGGTACTTCTCAGAAACGAAAAAATAACAGAGAGGGGTTCACAGATCAGGGGAAGGAAATGGAACTCAGAAAAACGCTGCTCCTGAGAATCGAAGCCAAATAACGGGATCCCTCACTGGAAATCGCTCTCCGGTGAGAGAATAAAATCGCTCTCCAATGAGAGAATTTCCTACAATTCAATAGTTATCAATCTATATTATCATTTATCACTATTTTATAGAAAAAAATAATATTTACATTAGTGTTATTTTTCTTGTTTATGATAATAATAAAGTTATTTTGTTTCAAAAAAAAATATACAATATAATTGAATAAATATATTTTTGTATAGTTAAACTCATATATATTATATAATAAATTAGTGAATTGTGTATTCCTATACCTATTAACTAATACAAATATATCATTAATTAAATCTGTATAAGCATATGTGGTTGAATATATTTTTTTTATAATATAGTTCAATCTATAAATACATATATTGTATATATGATGTATAAAAATAAAATAATATCTTTTCAAATAATTATAAATGAACTTTTTTGTTTTATTTTTATATAAGTATGTAATATATCTACTTAAAATATGAGCACAAAATAAAAATAAGTTTTTTAATTTTTTATTTGAAATATATTTTTTAAAATAATTTTATTTAATATAATATAATCATGATTTATAGTACTAATTTTATTTTTTGAAAAATTGATTCCTACAAATAAGAGAATTAGAAAACCTTGCATTAGTTATGGAATGGTAATTCTATGGACATAGGTTTTGCAATTCCCATTGGAATGGCCATTAATTACAAAGTATGTACCAACCAATGTTTTAAATACCGTACCGGTAGGCATACCGGTCTAGCCACCGGTATGCGGTATTACCGGTCTACTAACAAATAATATTATATATCTATATAAGATATCATATTGAAAATATAAAATATTGAGTGATGCTAAAGAGTGAAAATGTACATTTATTAGTGTCAACCTTAGTGTCTAACCTTAGGTATACTTTCAGTTTCGTTTTTTTTTTTTAAAAAATAAAAGAAATATCAGGTTTTGATGCGTGTAAAGCAGCTTTTTTTTTTTTTATACCGGTATTTGGCGGTATATACGGTATGATACTGGTACAACACGATATTATCGGGAATCTGGTATTTTGAGTGTTTTTGTACCGTACCTATGGCCGGTATCCGGTAATACCGGTATTACCGACCGGTACGGTACGGTTTTTAAATCACTGGTACCAACTATCAAAATCTCTTTTTTCTAAGTACACTTTATTTTTGTGGTATTCCGCCCCTTCTTTGTTTTTGGTCAAAAGATTAAATTCTTACTGAAAGTTGGTTATATTCGCCGATTTTCGCAATAATAGTTTTGGCTACAGTATGATTAACCGCGTGTTATATGTTTTGGATCTATATCTATTTATTTTGAAGGGCATTTAAACGTTCATTTGCAAAACTATATTGGAAACAAAAACATCTCTTTCTATTCGATATCTATGTGGGGTAAGAGGTCTTTGAAAGGAATTAACACAAATTTTCATTTATTTTATTAAGGATGAATAATAATTTAAGTGCTTCATTATTTTTGAAGAAGAATCGAGGTGATCAAAATGTACGAAAAAATAGAAAAAAAACGAGAAACAACCCTTTATGAATATTATTTATGAGGATAAGAAAAAGTTTTTTTTTCCTATCCTCATGAATCAAATAATGCTATGTTATTTCATTTACTTTTATTTATTAGTTTTATATACATTCTTTGTTCAATCTATAGGAATTCTATTTAATCACGAAGGAACAAGTTTAGATATATTATTCAAATGATTAGCCCCGTCTATTAACCCTTTACACCAAAACACCAAAAGTTAAAAGATTTTACAGGTTGGTATGAGTTTTCTAAAGATGCATTTTTTCAGTAAGTATCACTTCTTTGGAATCTTTGAGGCCTTCTTTTTTTATATAACCCCGTTCATTCTTCCTTGAAAAACTTATATTTAATTAATTAATTTCTTAAATTTTGCGAACTCCTAATTTTCTAAATTCTTTGACTTTAGAATTCAAATAGATTAAACGATATATTAAATGAAAAAAGTTCTTCAAAAAGTTCTAAGGTTTTCTTTTTCAATCGTGGATATAGTTATACCTAATCATGTGATAAAGAATGAGTAAGGGAATGATCATTTAATTCTCATGTCATTCTTCATACCAATCATACCATAAGATATTTATATACTACTAATACTTGTAGCACAAATTGTTATTTTACCGAGTACTGAATCAAAAGATTCGTTTCCTGGGTCGATCTCACGAGGAAGGCGGTTCGGAATTAGCTTGACATTGATAACACATAAAAAGAAAATAAATCCTAAACACTCTAATCAGATAAGGAGTTTGACTAATTACTAACTAAGAAATAATAAAAAGCAATAATCTACCTAAAATGTGAACGGAACAAAGATAGAGAAGCTATGGAATCAAGGATAATTAATTCAAGTTCTAGCAAAGTCGGGCAATTAATCGTTCGGTTCGAGATTGACACTCTCGCTTAGACATCTAGCGGTTCGCTCCCAATAACTCTTCGTAACAAGGGGTTGAACATAGACGAACAAGTTCGAGCATACAACACATGTCAATTATCTCAATCCCAATAAATTTTCGTAACAAGAGACTGGTCATCGACAAGTACACATTTCAATCTAAAATACATATATTACTCAATTATGAAATTATCTACGTCATGCGAGCCTAGGTCTACGACTTCTCCCTTTTTGGTTCTAAAAGTCGCGAATTCAATTAGAAGGTGTTTAATCAATTAATCATATAGAATTGACAAACCCTAACTCGACAAATTAACATTTAATTGTTTCCAATCACCAGAACTAAGTATCACTCTTCGATTATATCAATCAATCAAGCACAAATTCATCAATTCCGAACTAAATCAACTCACATGAGCATGAACAAGTCAAGCCCGACAAATACACGTTAAACAAGAACAATCATCCCCTATCTCTAGCAATCAAATTTAGCTACGTAAATCAAATTAAACAAACATAATCATTCTTCTCAAGTCAACCATTATTCATGAATTAAACAAGAGAAATAAATACTTACAATCAATCCAAGAAGAAGAAGAATAAAAATGGAAAATAAAGAAGAAGAAGAAGAAGAAGAAGAAGAAGAAGAAGAAGAAGAAGAAGAAGAAGAGAAAAGAGTTTTGTTCGTGTTTTTCCCGACCTAGGGTTTTCACCCCGGAAGGTGAGAATAATGCCAACGGTTACAGAATTATGCTATTAAAAATTTGCTTGTCGCGCCCTCCACGGACACAGAGAGTCCCGCGGGCCGCGGTGAAGAAGAGTTTCGCGGCCGCGATATTCTCCAAGGCCGCGACATTTTAAGAGCTGAACACGGGCACTAGAATTTTTTTGTTCGCCGCGTCCGCAGTGAAGAAGAAGTCGCGGCCGCGGGAGGAGAAAACTGGGCACGCAGGTGTAACGCGAAGGGGCG